AACTCGTTTACCGTTATCTTTGACCTCACGTAACATCTTCTGAGGCACATGTATACATACATGATGACTTTCGGAATTATATTTACAATCACAAAACGAAGGTTGATACGAAAATTCACTTCTTCCTGTTTTTTCCACAACCTAATGTCTCTATATTACCTATATTATATTACTATCTATACTTTCATAAATCGAATAAAATAACAAAATGATGAGGAATCGTTTTCTATGTACCTTTCGATGACAATCTCGAATTTGACTTTAGAATTGCCCTAGTGCATCAGAATTTGGAGATCGATCTACTACTACTACTAACTAATAAAAACCAAATTAGCATCCTTGGGATTCAAAGATTTAGATGTTTCAAAATCTCAATATGGTGGGGTACTTTTTTAAGCTGGATTTAAACTAAAAGTGGTATCAGAAAATGACCAACTGTTTTGTATGTTTTGTATTCCTATTGGATAAAAGAAAGTGTATCCGGAAGTTGTATTTTCCGATTTAGATGCTAGAATATCTGATGCCCATGGAATAACAAATTAGTGCTGAAAACCATTAGTTTATAACTCTGTCTTAAATAAAAACAGTAAAACTCAATGGAAACAGTAGGGTGTACTTTTTGTTGTTCAATTCGTTAAGTGTTTTTGACATATAAATCTTTTTCTATGTAATTCACAGATGAACTCTTAGAAAGTTCAAAATGTGTGTGTGTATGACTCTCTTATTTTATCTTATTCCTAGAGTTATAAATGTGAATTTGAGAAACCTGAAAGTCCTTCAGGCGGTATGTCCTAATTTTAGCTGAGCAGTATCTGTGTGTAAATTCGACAAAAGGTGAGCATATGGTGATTACGTTTACAAGATCTATTTTAGTTTATTTGAAGGTATTAGTTGGGTTGTTGAATACACTGTGGCAGTGCCATTTACATGGATTTAACGAACAAAGGAATTTCCAGCCATTTACAATGCTAAACTGTGCAATTGTAAAATCTGTTTCACGTTATCGATCCATCATTCATGGAGACTGAGAAATACTGAAACTGTTTCTTACTTTGCTAATTATATTCAGTAGAATGTAGAACCTACGAAATTCGTTGTACACCTTTACTTTTTTCCCATCGGCATCACATCCTTTGCAGTTAAATCGTAATCAACTTCCTGCAATTCGTATAGCACCTACAATTTAGTATCGAGTTTATCTGCATCACATCTTTTGTTAAACTTTATGCAATCACCTACCTTGATGGTTATGTGGAAAGATAATGAGCAGCAATGGTGTAATTAGATGACTGAATCGTTTCTGCTAGGCAGTTAATTTTAATTTAGATGTTTAAAGAGCGTGGAGATATAAAATAGATGGATATCTAACGAAAATTGAATCCGGAAAAGCAATTGTAAGGTACAGGGAACAGATTTATAGGACGAACAAATATTTTCACTTTCGGCTATTGGGTATCATAAATTTCGAATGCATAGCGTGTGTGATTCTAGAAGCCTGTTTCGAAAGAGCGAATCTGATGGAGATGTTTAGATTCAGCGTCCGTAAAGAGAAATGAGCTACACTACATGGCACGCAATAAACATTTGTCAAGAAGACGTTTGAGAACTTCATCTTACTGATTTAACAGGGCATGAATGATGAACTTTCTTAAAACTGCTCTTTTAAAAAGATTCGGGGAAGTGTCGACATCATTATAATTATATCCATCCGTTGTTACTTAATTACTTAATACATATCATGTACGAAATAAGATAATTTTAAATGTCTCGTAAATGAATAATAGACTTAAGCTGCATGTTGGTGTGAGATTGTGCACGTAAATCTGAATTTCAGGACGATTTCGCTAAAATTTAGGACATTTAACCATGTTGAGATTAAGCATATAACGTTGTCATGTCCTTTAGTTACTAACAAAAACTCAATATGATTCATTTACCTAGTGTCTGTCGCGAGAGATTTTTTGAAAAGGGACGGTTTCGTTAAATTAGACAGGTTAGGTTACGCTATAATCCGGTACGCCGTAAGTATTTGTCGAAATCGCATGCCAATGGCTAAATCATCATTTAGTTATTTTATAGTCATCATCATCATAAGGTCGTAAGTCCTAAGGCTGGTTGGACACGTACCTCCTGCGCTAAACTTCGCATTTCCTTAAAACTAGAACAACCCGCATCCGTAACTATTTGCGAATAGTAATCCAATCTAGGTCTACCCCTCCTAACTTCTGTTTCTGCCTCTGACTAGACCTTCATGCCTGGGAAGACGTCCAACCTATCTCGCCTATTTCTTATTCACATTCATAGAGTCCTCTGTTCTAATATTTTTTCTAATACCTCTTCATATCTAACCTTTTCTACCCACGTTATCCTCATCATTCGCCTAACACTACATTCCTAGTTATATAAAATTAGCCACTTCTAATTTTTCGTCTCCTATCTTGTTTATATTTGCGCTTTCTCTAGTTTTACTTCCCTTGCATTTCATAGTATACATGCCATAAAAATCTTCTTGCTGTGATCTCAAGACATCAGATAACGCATTTGGACGTATTTCAATATGTTATTAATTTGATAACATATGCCAGTTACGTGCATGCTGTTCACATTGGTAAAATTAATCGGGAGTACGTTTCAGTATCATCTAGACTCGGGAGGTATTTGAAAAGTTTTTACGTTTTCAGGTACATGTAGAATTCCGTAATTAGCCAGTATAAATTAAATGAGCGTACCTAATATGAAGTTAATAAAAATAGGCGAGATAGGTTGGTAGGACACCTTCTCAGGCATGAAGGTCTAGTCAGAGACAGGAGGCAGAAACAGGAGTTAGGAGGGATAGAGGTAGACCTAGGTTCGATTACTGTTCGCAAATAGTTAACGATATGGGTTGTTCTAGTTCTAGGGAAATGCGAGGTTTAGCTCAGGATAGGAAAGAGTGGAGGCACGTGTCCAACCAGTCTTAGGACTGACGACCTTATGATGATGATATGACCTAACCCTAACTGATATCCAGGCCGAATCAGGTTCTAGTAGGGAATGTATTACGATATTCTGTCAGGTAGTGAAAGGGACCTATTAAGAAATTCCCTACTTAGTGGTATAGTTGGTGTTACTCCTTTCGCCGGGAATCGAACCCAGGCCCCTGGTTTTAACCCTTAAAAATTCAATGTGCCCTATTACTATTTATGATTATATGTACTTTGGTTCGACCATTCTGCGATCTATACTCTTAGTTACGTATCGCCGGTGTCACTGCTGTTGCCTCTTAGTCTCGGGTTCGCTTCCCGGCGCGGGAGTGATTGCAGCAGCAATTTTTTCTCATTAATTTGAATTCCAAAAAATAATTCACCAATACATTGTATTCGTATAAGATCCCGTTTAGTTGTTTCGTTTTCGTCTCATTAGAGGATCTCTCATTTATCCCGATCCGACCCTAATTTGACTGCCTTATATTGAAAACCCACATAGAGCACCTAAATTATACCAGTCTGACCCTGAGTTAACTGTCATATTGTAAACGTATGTACATAAAATCCTTAATTTATCCCAGTTCGAACTTAATAATATTATTTTAATGTAATCCTTTTAGGAATTCCTTACTAATCCCGATATGCGGCCCTTTACACGATTCTTTAATTTAATGTATTTTTTAGAGACTATCTTCTAAATGTAATTACATATACGTGCATACTTCACTTCATTTATAATGCTTATGTAGGTATTTGTGGAATTCGATGTTTATCGACATGGACAGGCTACGTTTGTTAAATTCTTTTTTAATAATACTTCTGATACTGTCTCAAAATTTATTAATCCTTTCGACCTGATTAATATACCTTTCTCCTTTCCCAAACAATTTTTTTTTTAAATTATTCTATTAAGGAACCACTTAATACGTGATGCTGACTTTGATAAAGAATTTTTCACTTGAACAAGAGTATTTAAGAAATGTAATAAAAACTATCCGTTTACTAAAGTGATTTTAAAGTAACAGGTATATAAAATTTTGCTTTTGAATGGTAATACGAACAACTAATTTGCTACAACAGTTTTCCGCAAAGCGATCGCTGGAGTCCTACAGGGCGTAGTAATGGCTCTTGAGCCTAAACTGTGGACTTTTTAGTAAATTCGAGCCTAATGTTAACAAACTTGTTAAAAAGTATCAGATTCGACTCATGCTTCACATTAGATTAGTCTGTTTTTAGTATTGTTTGGGTTTAAATTTAAATTTGTTTTAATTTGAAGTTTTTTTAATATTATTTATGGAATTGCGTTTTATTATTTTCATTTAAACAATTTTATTTATAATCTAAGTTTTTTAAGGGCGAGACTCTTATGACACACCATCAGGTTTATTTAACTAAAGTTATTTTCGGGGTGCTCTAAACATTGAATTACTGTTAAAATTTAATAAGAGCAACGTAACTTTTAATTCACAATCAGTACATTCATAGGTTGCGTAACCTACATAAAATGTGACAATTCACAATATAAAGTTCGAGTATTTATAAAAAGTATTACAGCTTTAATTAATTATTCGTACCTATAGTCAGTTATAACAAAACAGAAGAAATAATAATTGTGTTCGTTACTTGACCCCCTTTAACGAATTACTCATTAAACTCAGAATATTAACTATTTCACATCATATATACTCTGCAGTAATCAATTCCTTTGTTGTGATTGCTCATGCCTAAATTCACTGACAGTTACAAAGAATATTTTTTTTAATTTTTTTATTGGTTCGTAGATTCTATCCATTTTTAGATAAAATTTTTGTACGTTCCTAAACACCGATTATTTAATTTATATACGTACCTACAGAAGTAAATGTATCTATCTATTTACCGGCTAAAAATACATAAAATTAAGTAAGTATACGTTAATAATTAATTACAAAAAATGACATATTCATCTAAATAAAAGTACCATCTTTATAACAGTTTCCGAATCCAATAAAATATTTAATAAGTAAAAAAAAAATAATTTTCAATTTTACTTACCCTCCTTGAAAGCGGAAAATATTATAAACTGAACGAATGCCTTTTAAACACGTGCACTATTTTCGGCAATAATAGTATAAACACTCGTGGTCATCATATTTTGATTCATTATATTATAGTAGATTGGTTTGCGAGTGTACACTGCAAGAGATTGTCGGTTTGAAGTCGTTGTCTACTGAGGTCGTCGGTGAGTGTTGAAGAGCCATCCAACAGTACAGTTGTTCTCCTTACGGGACCTATCATAGGCGGCGAACGCGGTACTAAAATTAAGGATCCAACGGCCTTTGTCAGTACAAAACTCTGCATGCACTTTCATGATACTTATCATGTAAGTCTAACCACTAACCATTAAAAAAATTGAAGCTTATTTCAACTTTATGCCTTTACAATTAGAATAAAATCGAAGAAACTCACCTCTATAATATACCATAAAAATTTTTGAAAACGGAGACGTAATTTGCCCACTCAAGATTAACTAATGATTACTATTCTTTTTTTGGAAGTTACTTCAAGACTTGGTTAAGTTCTTAATATTTGAATAAATTGTCGCAAAAACGGTTTGTTTTTAACATTCATAGAAATAGCGTAATGAACATTTGTGTTTTAATTTTATTTTATTACTTAGAAGTAGCATTAATTCTAAGAACGAAGGCTTTTATTTTTAAAACTTTCCTAAAACTCATTATCTTTAACGGAAATATTTGCAGTATAATAATAATTTTTAATTTTTTTTTAGCAAAGTAGATGGTAGTAAAAATTTCTTTATATTTTNAGATGGAAGGAGCAGTAGAGATTTAAATAGAGGATAGCACAGGGTCGAGTCGCCTTCAACACAAAGAAGTCTGTGCTATGCTCTATGCTCAAGATTTAATTTAAAAATTCGAAAAAGATTGTTAAATGTGCAGGTCTGGTGTTATAGGCGAATGATGAGGATACAGTGTACAGGGAAGGTTAGAAAATAATAACATAAAATTTAAAATAATAAATAATTAAAATCATATTTAAATTGTGGTTATAATTTGGTCATCTTGGTTTTACTTATTTATTATTTCAACAATTAATACATTATTTCAAATTTCAGGCTGTTACTTTAATTTGTGACTGTGAATTTGTGTACAAATTTTTATCTAACTGTAAGTATCCAACAAATAAGTAATTTTTCAGGTGATTATACAAGAAGTCCCAGTCTTCGTCTAATATGATTGATAAACTAAGAAATCGATCTTGACAAAGTCTTAGATCGAAAAGCGAAATATCGGTGGAGATTACATTATCAATAAATAACATTTCATCCTTTACTGGTTGCTTCTAATAAAAGAAAAACTTAATACATCATTGAGAAAAATAGTACATAGACTGTAACTACATAACTTTCAGAAATCCAACGTAAAGAAATTAAAACGATGATGTAGTTACAATTCGAGACTAACGTTCAAAAATTAATTTTAAAATAAAAAATCTTTAATACCTTGGAAATTAACGAGTATCTAAGTTGAAATTTAAATAAATAAAGTAGGAAATTGAATGTTATTTCACTTAATACATGCCGCAATTGGTTGTTTGACTAAATTCTTGGTTAGCTGACAATTCTAACCTCTGACATCATTAAAAAACGGTAATTATTTGGTTAATCAACTAGAAGAAATCAAGCATTCGAGAGGCTAATGTAACATTAGCAGTGAAAACTACAAAAAAGAACGAATGTTACTATTCCGCCTTTAAAAGGTATTCCAAAAATACTTGTAGTCAAAGACATTGAAAGTAGAATTCTACAATAGGACACTAATTTTAATAAATGAAGTAACCTGTACAAGAAATTTTAATATTCCAAATAAACAAAAATCGAATGGTTGACACTCAAAGTTCTCAAATAAGTTTTTGAGAACCCCTTCGCTGCAACGCTGTGAGTGATTACAAGCACCCGCTATACGTACAAAAAATACTATTGTTAAAAATTAAGTTTATCTACCACAGTTAATGGTTTTTCTGTATAAAGATTACTACTTACTGAATATAAGAAGTTCAATATAAATCAGTTGAAAAAAGCACTTTCGGTATCACAGTCATTTGCATTATATTTCCCTATTTGTAGTTTCTTTTTAGTTTCTTAAAAGTCGAAATAATTTCATAAACTTAACCATATCTAAAATCGGTATAATATTATTCATATATCCGTATCCGTATCCATCCATTTCCGTAACATCCCTGTACCTTTACCGTTACTGATATATAAAAGAGAATGTGGAAGATCAGTGACAAATAGATAGACGCCTGGGTAGACTGAAGGTTGTATGGGTAATAGTTTCTATTAATTGAACCATAAAATTTAACAATGACGATATTTCATTTGTTTGATTTGTAAAAAAATAATTCTTTATTTTCAATAGCATCTTGATAAAAACGCATATAATTGTCTTGCATAAAACATAAACAGCAAAACTAATTAAATATGCCATGACATTGAGATCATATGACGTATTTATGAATGTATATATTGCAACTTCAAAAGAAACTACGATGACATTCTATGTCGAGACAATGTAATCACATTTTCACGTTCGAATTCGTTCTAAAACGATCAGCTAGCTAATCATTCATTGATGGCGCCTGTAAAAAAGAACAGTAACAACTACTGTTACATAATTGGATTGCAGATACAAATTTTTATTCGTCTTAGATTACCTACATGACGAATGAACTAATATGCTGAGATTATGCCTCCTATCGCACTCCGTCCTACTAAACGAATCACACGCAATTTTTTTGTACTACTTCTAACTGTATTCTGACACAGAAGCATATAACAACATCGATACACAACAAACAAACTTGTTACAATGTGTTGCTCATATATATGTACGTAAAATATGTACATATTTATGTATGCATGCAATGTATTGAACAAAAAAGCCTATTTGACGACAGTTAATCAAATAATGTGCATATCGAAGTATCTATACAAGCTGAAAAATTGAGTTTATGAAACCAAGGAAATTAAAATTATCAGTAGGTACTTATAACTGTTTCGCTATAAGTACAAATGCTTCTTCAAGAGTATAATTTTCGATAAAGGGCTAGATGATGGCCCCCACCCCCGAAAGGGGTGGGCTGGGAGGGATCAAAAGAGGAGGTCTCCCCCACCACTGTACCATAAAAGTTCGTGGTGGTCATAACTTTTTATGGGGGCTAGATGATGGCCCCCACCCTCAAAGGGGATGGGGGTAGGGGTATCGAAAGAGGGTGATCATCTGAGTAAAACCCCATAAAAAGTTTGCGGCGGTCTCACCCCCATAAAAAGTTACGGGTGTTGAAAGTTGATTATTTTGACAATTTTCATACATTATAATTCAAATAAAATTCNAACCTAACCTACCCTATTGATAAAGATATTTAAATAATGTTTTATATAACTTTCTCAATATTTTTATGTTTTTTTCATTAGTTTTACCTTTGAATATTGTTTAAGAATGACTATATAAATATTTACAAGCCTAGAAATGTATAAGAATTGGCATATTTATTAACTTTGAACCTCCATAACTTTTTATGGGGGTGAGACCGCCACGAACTTTTTATGGTACAGCGGTGGGGGAGACCTCCTCTTTCGGTCCTCCCACTCCTTTTGGGGTCGGGGCCATCATCTAGAACTTTACCTAATTTTCTTATTCTTATTCTTATTCTTGTTTTAAGTAAGTCTTAACTACTAGTGAAAGTAGCGAAATCTCAATTTAACAACAATGAATTTTATTCGTTCATTAAACATTATATATGATAAAAGGTCATCACCTTATAAATAAGTTTAATATAAAATTTTCAAGTTTTACAACTACTTACACACTAACAGTCACAGGTCATTCGCGCAAATGATGTGCGGCTGCCTCTTATATTAGGGTGAGGCGGAAGTAGAAACTTCCTCCATCTCCAGCGAATAGGCGAGTAGGGTTAGTACGACACCATCTCTGACATGAAGGGCTCGTTAAGGACGTATTAGAAACAGAAACAGAAGTTAGAAAGGTCAGAAGTAGACGCAGGTTGAATTATTATTAGCACAAATATAAATTAGAGATATACATAGGTTGCTCTGGTTTTGGAGAAATATGAACACTGACTCAAGATAGGTTTAAGTGGAGGTGCGTGTACAACCAATCTTCGAGCTGAAGTGATTGTCTGCTGATGAGACATGAAGGGCTGGTTAGAGATATACCTGTTAGAAGCAGAAACAGAAGTTATAAGGAATAGAGGAAGACCTAGATTTGATTACTGTTCGCAAATAGTTAAGGATGTGGGATGTTCTAGTTTTAGGGAAATGAGAAGATTAGCTCAGGATAGGAAACGGTGAAGGTGCGTGTCCAACCGGTTTTAGGACTGACGACGTTATGATGATGATGATGATGATGAATTGCACTCAATTGTCAACTATTTGGATGATCAGTTGAAGAAAAAGAAAAACCTTAGGACTTTAGCTCAAGCAGTAGATATCTACCAATTGCTATAATGTGATAGGAGGTGAGTGGTACAGTACCCAGTTCATCTATCTATCTATTTCCTAGTTATCTGAAAAATATCTGATTTTTTAGATAATCGGTCTTTTGACTAACAGAATAGTTAACTTTATGCTATATTTAGTTTCAAATTTTACCACCACTTGCTTTTTTGAGAGGCGTTTTCGCTACAGCCTTAAACTGAAATATTTTATGCTCCTGTATTTGAAGATGTACGATACCTCTTTCTTTCAGTTTGTTAAATGGACCTAACTAGATGTATTGTTTTTTTATTTCTTATAGAAATCCAATGATTCCATTCGTTCAGCAGTGCTTAAAATGGGCGTCTCGTTACGTTATACGGCCTTTACATTATAACATAGGTACAAAGTCAAAAGAAATAATTTAATACTAACGTAGAAATAATTTGTTTAAATAGAACATTATTGTGTATTTTCAAATACATGAACATGTATGTACCAAATACGAATTATAATAAAATCAATGTACTCCAAAATCACCAAAATCAAACTAGCGCTATTCGCATCGATAAACACCTTTCACAACATTCACTCTTTACTTCCAAATGGCAATATTAGTAAAAGATATGGAGATAAATCAGAATTTGGATAAGCCTTGGTTTTTTTTTGAAATGGGGCAATGTTTATTTATTGGTGGATTAAAAGATAGT